ATATTTCAGACATCGGGGAAAGTACCCGAAACCCAGAGTGAGTTAAAAAGAGAAGCGAGAATAGGCAGAAAGATGAGAGGAAAGTGTTTAAATGCGATAGCTGGGACGTTGTCATTTCCGGAGGAGAGTTTAGATTTCGTCTGTTTCAAAACAGAGGAAATTTCAAAGATCGAAAAAGGGGAGTCGAAATTAGAGTAGAAAGGAGAAACAGAGGAGTTATTGTTTTGCATTATGAGAGAGGTTGAAAAATCGGCTGTTTTTACGCCAGACGGATCGAGCTGAAATTTTGGGAAATGAACAGTGACTATTACTTATTCATTTTCTGAAAATTTTATCTTTATAAATATAATGGTTTCAAAGATAATTACTTTTATAGTTGGCGCTAAGTGAATAGCAGTTATTCTCGTTGAACGTAGCACTTTTGAACTGGAGCAATTTTTTCGAAGAGAACGCAGTGTCTAGCATAATTCTTGATGATTGAAAGCTTTTTTAGAGTGCATAAGTAGGCTTCTCTTGGTTTTTTGAGGGAACTTTGAGTTAGTATAGTTCTCTTTTGTTGCTTAGTTGCACAAGAGAAATCACCCTAAATGGCAATTCTACACAGTATAAGCAAGGAATGAGAAAATATAGTTCAATTATAGAGATTAAAGGTACCACTTACATTTTCCTTTATTTTGATATTATCATTTTTCATTTTCCTTTTATGCACACGTCGATAGATTATGGGACAAAGCAAGAAAAGAAAAGTTTTTATGTTATCCTAGAAACTGATCCATCTTTAGCTTTCCAAAAGGTAGTAAGCATTTTTCACTAAACAATATGAGTTTAGGCGATACTCTGTCAGTTTCAAGTGAAACAAATTAATTAGATAATATCCATTTCTTCTTTTCATCCCACCTGACACAATAAATGTTCGTCACGCTGACAAGCGAGTTTAACTTTCGAACAAAAAGATCAACAAAATTGCAATTTTTAATGCTTGTAGCCAGAATAATGACTAGAATTTTTTATATGAGAAATTAAAGAAGTCAAATTGATAAAAGCAGAAGGTATGAGATAGTGTAATTTAGATATACTTTACATACAAGATGTATGCCTAGTTAATGAATAATATGGGGGAAAGCTCCATTTGTCAGCAATTTTAGCTCTCTTATGACTAGATCAGTCATATCAAAATTCGACCGAATATTTATAGAGAAGCGACCCTATAGATTTTTACATATTCGGAATCAGCGTGACGAGTTACGTTGTATGGTATAAAGATCTCGACGAGATCCCAACAATTTTTGGGGCCGGTGACTCCGCTGTAGGCTTCATGGTATCTTACACTATATTCAACAACAGACATCAAATACACTTCGTTCACTTTTCTTTTCTTTTATCTTATTTTTCGTCTGCTTAATATATTTTTCTTCTGTGGTCGTGGATTTTATGTGTGTTTTACGTTATTTTTCTTGAACAGCAAAATAAGAAAAGGAAAACATTGTATGTTTTTGTCGAGATGTTCATTTCTTCTATGTTCGAAAGAAGCGGTGAATTCATTCTATATTCTGCCAACTTCTCGAATTAAAATTAAACTAACTAGAGAGGACCCATTTCCACGTTTTATACTAGTTTGACGTATACAAGTTGTACTATATTTTGATATGTTTTCCAGAAAAAGATCTCTTTTAGTTTTAAAGATATGTGGCCTCAATATTGGTGATTAACGTTCAAAACTCATACCTTCTTCTTTTACAGTCGGGAGTTAGATAAACTCTTTTTGATCACCATGACTTTCCGACTTTCTCCTGGGTCGTGATAGTTAGGTTAATTGTTACCGATTTACTGACCCATATTTGTCTTGTCCTCTTTGTATAGCACTAACCAGTAATTATCAAGTAAATTTATGAGGAAGTTAAAAGCAATGACTCAATAAAATATTTCGTAAAATTTGGATGGATCTGTGGACTTTACAGGTATATAGAATATATTACGATTAATCTTTATTACCTTAGAGGGAGCGTAAATACAACTTTATTCCAGTATTTTATCGAGTCTTGAAGAGAAATTTAAGGTTATCTCGATTAAATTTTATTAGCATCATAAAGAAAGCTACTGGTAATACTAAAAGATTTTTTTGCTTTAAAATAATTACATGATTTACGAATGTTGTCATATTTCCGAGTTAGAAAATAAATTTTGATTTAATCTTATTTTGGTGTTTTATTTGTACGTTATTTCATTTTCTGCATAAAACTAATGTTACTATTTACTGAATAGATAAAGTTCGAACACACATTATCTCTAATTATCATGACCCGATGAGAAAGCCAGAAAGTCATAGTAGTCAAAAAGAGTTCTTTTAGCTGTTGAATATAACAGAAGAAAGTATAATTTTTAAACGTTACCAATTTAGTTACAGATGTTGATGCATTCTAAAATCTAGAAACATTGCTTTTCTATCTATCACCTCATCTGTAAAGAAAAAATGACTACACGTTATATGTTTATGCAATTACAAAACAAGACAGTTATGTATAAAACAGTTCTAAATTACGCTATATCGTACCTACACCGACTTAATGGACAGAATAGGGAACTCACCGATTAGACTATATTTTAAAACGCTTCCTTAACTTTCAATCTAATTGATACATTTTGACGGGCTTGTACGAAACTAATTAAGAGCTTATCAACAATCTCGTATAATTGTACTCTATCATAGAGTAAATCGTGTACAATCCGGCGGATTGTACACGATTTATACTCGGCCAATCTTACACATATAAATCCTTATACACCTTTTTACGATGGCAACAGAAAATACATATTTTCCTCTGCTGAAAACATAAAATTTCTTCTCTTCTCACTTTCTTACTTGATGCCATTTTTCTTTTTTTTAATCTTTTTTCTTCTGTACGCATATATAGATACATACAAAAGATAAGAAAGTAAGAGAAGAATGAATTTTACATTTTCCTGGAATTACTCATATAACAGGACAGCACTCATTTTGAAATTACCCTTAATTACATCAACTTTACAACTTAAAGTACAATTAACTACTATCCATTTCAAAATAGAAGATGAGTGAACAAAACGCTTATAACTCCGGAACGAAAAGATCTAGAGACCTGCGATTTTCAGTTTCTGAAACTAGACACTGGGGTACGTAGATCTGTGAAAAAATCATGCCGTTCGATCAGGTTTACCATGGTGTACCATTCGAGGCAAAATCCGAAAGCTTACCATTCCCAAACAGCACTAAGAAATACAATCTTCTATAATACCATTTGATAGCCGAAACATTTCTTTTCAAAACTACGCAAGGCTCAGGTCTTCATCTTCTTTGGTTCCGGAGATACAGGTGTTTTTTTCGAGGACACATCTATCTCCTTCCCGACACGTCTGGGAATCTCAGAAACATGTGAATCATAGGTAATCGAGCACGCTGATTACCGTGGCAATCTTTGTTTCAATATGGAAACGAAAATAAGGTCGGAAAATAAAATATTTTGAAAATTCGCTTTTTAGCCTTTGACCGTGGTAGATTCAAAGTTTTATAATTCGGCCATTTTTAGTCCAAATTGACTCAGATTTTCAGGATACACTCAAAACAAGTCACAGATACAAGATCGAGCCGAAAGAATGGTTTGAAAGTTTGCTGACCTGCTCAGGTTTTGGAGGCGGTTTCTGGAAAACCTTCCTTGTAACGGTGGTTTACAACCGATTCTTTCGGCTCGATCTTGTATCTGTGACTTGTTTTGAGTGTATTCTGAAAATTTGAGTTGCAAAATTTGTTTTGCAATGTTGATAAAAGAATAATCTCTTGCCACATAGCGGTTAATTGTCTTTGAAGAAGTAATCAAATCAATTAGAAAAGAAAATGAAGCATCTGTGTACGTTTAGCTAAAAATTATTTCAAAATGAAATGTTGTGTAACAGCGGAATACAGGATTCAGTCACTCTCACACCGCCCCTCCCGCCTTTGAAATTCTTTGATGTGTATTCTCTGAAGTGTCCGATTTGTCGACGAATCGGAACGATACCGAATACAGGAATAGTTGCGGAATAGAGGAATAGTGACCGACCGACCGGAATATGCTTTGTAACACTACCTAAGATTAAAGCATTTTCTTGCCATGAATCTGGCCACACAGTGATCGTTGCTATCAATACATAAAACAATATTGATAGAAAAATATTTCGTTATGAAAAAATTTCACCGTCATAAGCAAGCGGTTGAGTACTTACATCGAGTGCAAAAAGACTTGTATAAATAGATTATAATTTATCATATGGGAGCGATTGGCTCTCTATCACACAAACTTTCGGCAGATTTTCCTTTTTGTAGAAATCACTGTCATGTCTTTGGCTCTGCTCGTTTTTCTACTATTTGAGAACCGTACTTTTTTGTCAAATCTCTCTGTCTCTTCCTGAACATTCAAACGATTAAGAACCAGTAATTTGATTAGAATATTCCTTTTTAAATTAACAGCAGCCATAGACTAAACTGAAATCTATTTTATTAAAAAAAGATCTGACGTTTCGACTCTTCATAGAGTCATTTTCAAAGAATATTGCAGAACATTACTGTACTTTACGCATGAAATGTTGTGAAAAGGAAAAAGAATGTTGTCTGTATATATTGTGTGTTACTTGTAGAGACAGTCAGTCAGTAATTATATTATCAGTCCTTTTTGTTTCACTCTTCATAACATTTCTCTATCCGCCTGGATCAATATTCCTTTTACTCTTTCTCTGAGAAAGGCTGTCGGGAAACACAATCAAAGGTATAGATCTAACTGTACGATTTAAGTCAGGATTGAATGATGCTATTATCCTAGACAAAAATTTTTTGCTAAAACTGATAGGATTCTTATAAAAATCTTATCAGTTTCTTCGATTTGGTTTAACTTACAAAAATATCAGTAAACAGGATGATGTCTCGAAATGTTCTATCCACAACGTTACTCAGCGTGAAAAGTACAAACTGGTGCAGCCTTGCCCCAGTCGTGATGCGAAGAAAGGGAGGCCTGAATTTCGGCCCACGAACTTTTTGTCTCGGACTTTCGAATCGAATCTTAATTTACCTAATTAATGTATAAATAATTAGTAAACTTTATGGTGCTCAGCAGTACGACATGGTGCTCAGTAAGACGATATAGTGCTTAGCAGTGCAACATAATGTTTAGCAGTTTGCATTCAATTCTATTAGAAGTGAGGCAAAGCACGATGCTTTATCAATACAATTTTAATTTTCTTCGATCGATGTTTTTCCACCAATACTTCCACTTTCATCTTGCTGAGCACCACGTCATACTCCCGAGCACCACGTTTTATTGAAAGTGCATAGTGCTGAGCACCATGAAGTTTACTAATTATTTATAAAATTAATTAGGTATATTAAAGTTTGATCCGAAATGTCGTCCAGACTTTCGGCCCGGGCCGAAAAATCACCGGAATTTCAGATCGGGTCGAAAGTGCTAAACAAAAAATTCGTGGACCGAAATTCATGTAACCCAGAAGAAACATTTAATCAACAAAGATGATCGTTGTTTATTGCTTTTATGTAAACAAAATCATAATAAAAGAAGTTACCAACCAGCGGGAAAATGAGCACTATTGAATTGAAAACAATTACGCACAAGAATGCCCGTCGTCACCTCTTCAGTGCTGAGTTTATAACGCAGACTTCACTTGCCGGAAACCGAGTCATTACCGATTACGTCGAGCATCCGCCTGGAGATAAAGAATGGAAATATGTTATATTCTCCGACGAATTTTATGCTGAAGCGCTAAATCAGAAAAGGTTGATTAGTCTTCTAAAATGGATAGTGACGTCACCAGGTCAACTCCATCGAAAATATATGGAATCTGCTTAATAGAAAGTCAAGGAATTAGAAAAGTTAATCCAACAATTATGGCCTGAGATAGATTCTAAAACCTATCCGATACTAATGGAGCGGATAGCATGTCGTACTCAGCCATGTATCAGTGTTACAAGTGGTATAGCAGCATAATACTAATTTTTTAAAGAAAAACAGATCGAAAACGATGTTGTTCTTGTAATAGTGGCCAGTACTGTGGACTATTAACTAAACAATTAGAGTAATTGATGCTTGATAAAAGAAACTAGTTTTGGTATATTGAACCGTTAGCTAATTTTTGCACGATTGTATCGCTACTGTGTATGTATAGTATACCCTTGTTCGCTCAAATTTTAGCAGAAATTGGCTGCGCTCAGAATTATAGAATAAACAGAAGGTTTCAAAAGATACGCTTCCAGATCGAATACTACTAATCGTATCATTATTAAATATTGTAAACTATAAAACATTTTTGATTGTACTAATCATAAAATATGCATATCACATATATATAATTTATACAAATCAAATTTAACTAACGGTTGTTGTACATGTGGTAGCGCATGATAAATCTCGTACTGGTATTTATGTGGCATCAAGTATATAGGCATTCGAACAATAAACGCAACAATCAGTGATGTTGTTGATGTATACGCTCGAGAGTATACGAGCCAAAGATTTTGACCACGTTTCTTCCCAGTACTATATACTATATCTTTTCATTTTTTTTCTGTGTATAGTCTGTTACACCTTAAACTATTTTAATCCCAAAGATCGTGAAATCTGTCAGAAAAGAAATGGTATTTCTGAAGACTGGAACATGAAAACAAAAAACATATGATACATGAGTTTGATTATGCATTTGAAAAAGAAGGCGAAAGACGTAAGAAGATTGAATAGAAAAATAGTATCAAAAATACATTATTGTGCACTGTCCCATTTTTCTTTCTCGACTACATTCATTCACTGAGTTGAAAAAAACATTCATAAAACATGTAATTTGTATTTCATACATACAAAGACTTTTTCATCACCGTACACGCATATACATAATCGTTATTTTGATAAAATATGTATTATTTGATAGTTGGTCTAATAACTACATTGCTTACATGTCAATCCTTATCTCTACCAGCTGCATCATCAAAGTGTACACAAGATGGTGAATGTGTTCACACGGATGACTGTGCCAATAACTGTACAAAAAATTCAGGTCCTCAATGTACAAGAGCCGAGTGTATCAATGACCAATGCCAATCGATCCAACCCTGTTCTCGTCAAACGTGTTCAAAATCAAATGAATGCGTTTTTAATACTCTTGTTGCATGCAAACCTCAAACATGCCCTAATGGTTATGAACCACCATGCACTGAACCAAGGTGCAACGATGGTATTTGTAGTATCATACCGGCTTGTTCAAAACGTGTAATATCAACAACAAGAACAACGTCATCACCAAATTCAAGAAACTACTGCCAAACAGTGAATGATTGTGTCACGAATAAACGCTGCATTGATTGTAACAAAGGCCGGGGACCTGCTTGTACTCAAGTCACATGTACCCACAAACAGTGTGAGGTTATAGAACCGTGTTCACAACAATTACTACCTCAATGTACACATGACAACGAATGTTTACACACAGACGATTGTCGAGCCAATTGTAGCCAAGGCATGGGACCTAAGTGTACGAAAGCTGAATGTCTGAATGATCAGTGCGAAACAATACCACCTTGTTCAAAGCAAACATGCTCTAAAAAGAAACCCTGTATTTTTGAAACATTCGTAGCATGTAAACCCAAGACCTGTCCGAATGGTTATGAACCACCTTGTACAGAAGCTCGATGTATCGATAACATTTGCCATATAATACCGCCATGCTCAAAACATACTAAAACTGTGTAATGATGCTGATGAAGATTAAAGACTATTACCTTCTTGAATTTAGTTACTACTACATCCTCATCTAAGCAAACTACTAAAATCTTTATTTATCAATACCTTTTCCTTTTTGATTATTACTTCAAACCTAACAAAATTGATTAGGATGTTCGACTAAATAAAATTACTGCACTCTGACATTTTCAAATTGACTATATGAGTGTATATTTGTTTGTGATTCGACTAGAAAACAAGTTATAATTTCTTTATATGCAGATGTTGATTATTTGGCCAAAAAAAATTCAAATAAAGTTAAAAAATTCTTAGCCTTACGCTTTCTTGAGTGAGTATTTTTATGACTAAGGCTATTGGAGTATCATCTTGAGTATTCCACACATTTTCAACACATTTTTAAACTATTTTCTACAGTTGAAAAAACGTTCATAGAAAAAGAATAAAAAGAATGGACGTGACCATATATATAAAAATATAGAATATACTAGAGAAAATAGATGAAATATAAAGACCATAGTACACATGACAGACAATGTGAAATGATGAAGACGAGGAAAAAAAAGATAGATAGAATAACAAGTTAATAAAGTATATTTAACAAAACATTAAAAAAAGAAGATAGAAAATATGTGACAGTACGAGCCTGTAACAACTGTTTTAATGGATTATTTATTAATAAAATTAAAAATGATAATAATTAAAATCTTAAAGGTTGACATATATAGGATGGTACAGTAAGATAGTTAATTACTGTTGATAATAAGTTTAACTGATTTAATTGAGCTTTTTCAACATGATTAGGTATAAGTTTTCTTGATATATGTTTTAATGATAATACCACATGTTCCTTTGTACGTGTAATGTATAATTGTCAACATATTCGTTTGCATTTTCTATAAGTTAATCTTTATTATGTTTGTATTCATATGCTATATCTTCATTAACTACACAAGCTGCTTTATATTTTTGTGTATTAAGGCCCACCCCCCCCACTCAAAAAAAGGTTATTTTGGTGAAATTTATCGATTTTTTTAAAATAGCGCATTTGATAGAGCATCACGTCCGCTATCGAATGCACTATAGTTTCTTAATTTTACGGTAGGTTTTAAGGGTTTCACACAGGTTTTTCTGAAAATCTCTACCGGAAAAAGACGACATTTTTTCGTTATTTTGCATTTTTCTCAAAATGAGATGTTTTGGTTTTACGTTTTCTTTCTCCGCCATTTTGAAAGCTAGAAAGCTCGAGTTTGTTTTAAATCATAGCTAAAGTCTGCCACTACAACTTAACAGAGCCCGATTCTTCGATTTCAGAATTGACGTCAGATGAAGAGAAAATGTTTGAGATCCTACACCACAGTAATTTCATATTGTGACGTAAAAGTTCTATAAAAAATGAACTACAGCGAAATTAAAAAATCGGCCTCCGTTAAGTTGTAGCCCTACATCTTAGCTATATTTAAAAACCAACCCGAGCTCTCTAACGTTAAAAATGGCAGAGAAATCTGAGACGGACGAAGACCCATTTTTGGACCTTAATTGTGAGCTAGCTCTTGATAGGTTTAATATTTCGAGCTGAAATTTTTACTGTGAGGTCATCATACCTAGATACACCATCTCTGAAAGACACAACTATTTTTTAATGGGTCCTATTTAAATGATCAGTATTTTTTGATCAGCAAATATATGGTTTTTGTGCAGTAAATAATTTCGAATGTCAGTAATTAAATCAAAATATGATCAGTGAATATATTAGTTTTGGTTAATGAATAATTTTTTTTTGATCAGTTAATTTTCAATTTATATCAGTGAAAAATAGTACAATTACAAGTAACATAATTTTATTGAATAAGCAATGCTTTTTTAGCTTTTGAAGGTCGACCTCTACGTCTTTTTTCTCCAGTTTTAATGTTCTTCGCAGCAGGTGGTGGTCTACAATAATTTAATCTTATTGCCAATCCAACGACATGTTTGCACATAAACTTTGCAAAGAAAGCAAAAATCCATCTATGTGTGATAACAGAAAAGGAAAAATCCCAACATATAAAAGTCAGTAGTAGAACAAAAGAAAAATACTGAATAAGAGAAAAAAATGACAAGAACGATAATCGAGAGACGGTCTAGAACGGTGAATACTGATATAAATGCAATGATTCACTGACCAAACATATTTAATTACTGATATTTTAATTTCGATACTGATAAGTTCATTATTTTACTGATAAAATGATTAAATTACTGATCAAATTCAATAGTCACTGATCATCAATTATTTTACTGACAATTCAATTTTTTTACTGATCATTTGCATTTAATACTGATCAAATTTTACTGATCATTCATAATAAAATACTGACCATTTAATTTGTACCCTTTTTTAATATTTCAGATATATCACCATTACCATTAAAACATAATAATTCTTTGTTTATACGTTTGTTAATCATTTTTATGTGGATAAAAAAAACTTAGTATTGAAATGAAAATTTTCGGTTGCTTATATAATATTTTATTTTTTACATTGTACAATTCCATCTTATTGTTTAACAATAACTTTTATATTTTATTGTTTGATTCTTGAGTCATTCCATAAATACAAGAATTATTATGAATAATAATATTTATGGAATACTAAGTTATAGTAATTTTGAATTGTAAAAACAAAAATAATGGAAGTAAATTCAATAAACGTTCTTGTTTTTGTTGTTTCATTTCTCTCATTGTGTTTTCATTTACATTCTTGCTTTTTATGTTTATTGCAACGATTCAAGAATCAAACAATAAAATATAAAATTTATTTACATATATTACATTTTAGATAAAATCATATTATTACTCTTATTTGAATCTAGAATATTTACTGATGTGAATAGAGGATGGACCGTTACTCGTTACTGGTAACGGGTAACGTTTAAATCAAATGAATAACTTTCAGGTTTGCTTAATATAAATTCTAATTTAAAATGTTAATTGTGAGCATTATTCTTATATATAATGCATAATTCTTTTAATACTATCAAGACATAGAAATCTTTTTCAATGGATAGCAATGGACGCACTAGCTTTTCTGGACACAGCAATTCTGACTTGGCACATGGACATGTAGTAGAAAAGCAGCACGAACGCCTCTGAACACTCTTTCCATAGGCTTTCGTACGTGCTTTTTTCAAAGGTATTGTCTTCTAACTTTCAAAGTGTGTTTGTACAGGTTTATCAGAAATCTAATCTTTGGAAAACTAGTACGAACATACTTTCGAAGTTTGAAAACTACGCTATTGAAAAGAGTGTTCAGAGGCTTTCGTGCTACTTTTCTGACACATGTCCACGTGCCAAGTCAAGATTACCAACTGTGTTTGATAGTCAAATACAGTCAAATCGTTACCCGTTATCGATAACGGTAACGCTTGAATCGTTACCCTTTACTAGCAACGGTGACGCAACTTCGTTACCGTTATAGTAACGGTTACTGGTAACGGTCCACCCCCTAGGTGGGAATAGATTATTTACTGAGATTTCAATGAAGCAATTAATTTATACTGAAAGTACTCCATGTTCTAGTATAACAAATACGTACATTAATTATATATATTATAGATGTAAAGGGACGTTCCAAAACCGTTTCCTTCAAGGAATGTTGACAACGGAAAGCGCATTCTTTTTAACTTTTCATCTATTCTCATATCATCAAAAAAACTATTTTTTTCATGAACTGCCTTCACTAAAAAATAAACGTCACATTATATACACACTGACCAGCAGGAATGAAGAAAGAACACATCCCATGCAGGCATTTTTTTGACCTAACGCACTGTGAAACGCGTTTTTTTGCACCAGAAATGCGTTTGAACGCGTTTCAGTACACTTGAAACGCGTTTGGATGCGTTAGACAGAAGTAAATGCTGTTA